TGCGGCTGTTTTTTGTTACCTCTGAATTGTTTTATGATGCCTTTCAGAAACACACTGATATCTCTGTAATCCCAGATTGTCCACTTCAGTTCTAGAGGAAAAGCCACCGGATTCTCCAGTGGTTTTTTTGGCTGATACCTGGTAGAGGGAAACAACGTTCTTTATCATCCTGCCAATAGAAGCTTTCTAAACCATCAGATTGTGCAAGAGAATTGACTAGCTAATTAAATATGGGCTGGGCACCATAGCAACCCTGTGGATCCATAGCTGGCCCAAAACTGCACGCATCCATCCTCATCAAGCTAACTGATGGATCAAATGAAGGCCACCAAGTTTCAGTCCTGGGCCCTCTACTCTTTAAAATTCTTGTGAATCACTTGGACAAATGAGTGGATTGGATCTTACCAAATTTGAAAAAGGCTAAATTGGGTGAGGTAGGCAGTGTAAGATATAACATTCAAACTAATCTTGATGAACTAAAAGTAATGCTGTGAAATTTAATAGAGACAAGTGCAATTACTACTTGCAAGGGTGGCCAAATAGGAATTGAAGATAAATATGCAACTCTCCTGTCTGTTGGTAATCTTCAATTAGCCAAAACGGTGCATCATAGCACAGAAACTTTTGAATGAAGGTACCTCAAATCCACTAACTTAAGAAATGCTTACAAAATCTGGGACCCATTACTCCTGTGTAATTTAAATTTCAAGGATCTTCACACCAGTTGCATTGGGAAAGTTGTGGCCACTACTGCGCCACCATGGTCGCGTGATGGTGATTTCCAAAGCTCCCGCTCCCACTGCTTTGTTGCCCAACCAGTGGGTTATCTAGTACAAACTGAAGATGAATAAGAATCAGCAGTATGATCTAACACAAAAAGATGCATGAGGAGAGGCAAAGTTTCCAAATCAGGGTTAGTGCTACTTCCACTCTGTTCTGTGCTGAAGGGTTGAGTTTCATGCATCACATTTTAAAAAGGAGTTTGGAAGAGGCTCAGAGAAGGGAAACCAAGTTGGCTGGAAATAATCGTTTGAAGAGGGACTGAAAGTAAATGTTTAGCCTTGAGCAGAGAAGACTCACAGGGGATGTTGACTGCAGAACCAACAATAGGTTGTTCATGTCTCTGAAGGGAAGCCTCCTGCTTCGCTTCATCAGATTTGAGCAAACTGTCTCTACAATATGATGTTGCGAAGCAGCACCCAGCTCTTAATCCATGGAGGATCATCCCACTTTGCTTCACTTCTGTTGCAAATGGAGAAGTTCCTGTTTGGAAAGCAAAGCGGTCAGTCCACCCAGATAAGTCTTTCCCCAGTGCTCAGTGCTGCATTTTGAGGGATCGTGGTTGATCTGCCAACATCTTCTAGATATCTAGAGAGGTGGGAATCCCCTTTGTAAGATGGGTTCAAGCAGAGGCGGGACAGCCCCCTGCCATGGAAGGTTTACTTTGGACTCCTGCAAAAGATGAGGGGTTGGATCTCATGGCCTCCGTGGCCCTTTCCAACATCAGGATTCTAAGGAGATGCATCCCGTTCAATTCTGGATATCGTAGAGATAACTGAGAATTGAAACTGCAGAAAGGATTAATTTTTTTTTTTTTTAAAGGAAGTATAAAATACTTCCTTATAGAAAATGTTTTTTTCACTGAAAATGAGATAGATGGAAAAACGATTAATGATTTTGATAATGAAAATGAGTGATAAACCTTGGGGACAAATATTTTAGTATCAAATGATGTTTTTTATAATTAATAATTAATTGTATCAAATATTGCTAATTATATTGTGTTGAGGTTGCCTGAGGAAATATCTACAAAGTCCTGAAATAAGTTATATTTAAGTTGAATTGCTACCAATATTGAAGATGAACTACTGCTAAAGACAAACAGAGCTTTCCAAAATGGGACATAACAGGAGGAGCTGCCGATCTCTGGGGTCATAAAGAAGAAAGAGGGTGGATTCACTTACTTCTCCAAGACGCTTCCTTTCTGTATGTCGGTTTCTGTGTGGTTGTCCAGAAGATTCACTCATTTATTTTGTGAATTTCAGAATTAAATTCTCTGCACAGGAAAAAGAAGAAAGAGGGTGGATTCACTTACTTCTCCAAGACGCTTCCAATGTCCTAAAGAAAAAGAGACAAAGACTGAAAGGAGCCATTTCCTGTGCAGAGAATTTAATTCTGAAATTCACAAAATAAATGAGTGAATCTTCTGGACAACCACACAGAAACCGACATACAGAAAGTATCTCAATTTTTTTTATAAAACCCCACCCCATTTGTCTTTTTTCCCCAGCCATTCACCTCTTTTATGTATTATTAATTTTTAATTTATTCTTCTAGAAAAATTATACCCCAGCTGAATGCAACTCAATTATACACTTTATGGTATACAGCATATAATGAAACTTAATAGAAAAAAGAAAATAATATTAAAAAAATAATAATGTATCAATACAATAGAAAGAAATCCTGCACTGATGCTTTTAGAATCAATCTCTGAAGGCCCTTTGGAAAACCCAGGTGGTACAGCTTTGCAGAAGGCCCTCAATGGGGGGCTCTCCTTGCTCTGGAGATTAGGGTGACCCACAGGAGGGGAGACCCTCCAAAGAACACCCACCATCACATCTCTTAGCAGTCTTAGGAACCCTAAGGAGGAATTCTGAAAACCACTACGGGCTTACAACACATCCCTTAGGGGTCATAGGAACCCAACAGGAATTCTTAAAAGCATTAAGGGCTTAGAGATTTTGAATTCTATTGTTTCTGGGTATCCTCATTTATCTATCCTGACATAGTAGCCATTAACCTTCGTACAGGTGGCCCTCGATTTATGACCACAATAGGGACCAGAAAATCCCTCATTAAGCGGTGCTTAACCATGGTGCCCTGGTTTTTCTGAATTATGTGTCCTGACATATTAGCCATTAGTCTTTGTATTTTCCAATTTCCTTTCCATGGAAAGAGTCAAAAAGGTATTTCTATGGTGGATCTAACTCAGTCCACACCACTCCATCATCTCAGCTTCATGCCTTACCTGTAAGAGTTTGCTTGCTGGCTGCTGCTGCTTCTTCTCCATCTCCTGGATGAGATTATCAAGAGAGGAAAGTTCCTCCACATGTTTGGCCAGACACTCATCCCTTCTTGCCACAATCTCCTTCTCTGTCTCTTCCATTCTGGCCAGCAGAAGCTTCTCCTGTTCTTCCAACCAGCATCGTAGTTTTCTGAATTCAGCCACTGTGTTTTCTCTCTCTCTCTTGATTAGGTCCTAGAACAAGAAGATGGAAAAGGCAAAGGTCATAACTATTATGATAATTAAATGGATTCACTGAAGAGTCCAGAATTGAGATGGGAGGATTTCTTAGGAAAAAAACCCTTTTGACTTTGCAACCGTTTTGACATCAACGAGAGCAGGGGGAAAGGTTTCTAAAAACCAAAAAAAAGGTTCCACTTTGAAATGAACTTTCATGAATATTTTTTGGGACATCAGGGCATTCCAAAACATAGATGGAAAAAAGTTTGAGTTCACATTTTTCAGTGAAATATTATCAGCCCATTTTATAAACCATGGTTTATGTGATATGTGTACTTAACCCAGCTGTGACTCATTCAAGCAATTCTGATAAATAATCCATGGGAGATCCCACTGAAAGAAACTTTCCTTCTTCTTCTGAAACAGATTCAGGATGGGTTCATTTCTTAGGAAAAGCATTACTGACAAACAGGCCATGGCCTATTAGCCCAGAAGCTGATCACCGTTGGATCAATACGTACAAGCATCTCCCTCGTTTTTTCTTCTGTGTTTCTTCCATATGTAACAATTTTTATTTTCTCCTCCTTCTGAGCCTTCAGGCAATCCCCAACTTTGATCTGAAGAGAAAATATAGGTTCTGAGTTTGTTTTCTTTTTGAGGTTTCCTGTAAAGAATTACATGTCAGGAAAAACCCCGTTTGATAATATGATGCTTCTTTTAGGGATATCTCCCCCCTCAACAAATAAAAACCTCTTTACTTGGCAATTTTTTTACCAAATAGATTGCTTTAATAAATCTCATGCTATTAATTTTCACATAACAAGGAGAATGGGGAAGGAAAACAAATTTATTCCCATGAGATTTACATCCAAATTGTTTCTAAGATGCTTCAATTTTACACTTAGGAACTTTTGGGAGAGGAACTGGAGCTAAGTGTTTTCTTTCTTAGATCCCAAATATCAAGTGGGGAGGCTCCTTTTTAAATGGCACAATCAAAAAAATTGAGCCTTGAATGTTTGAAAACTTAAACACTTTCATAATTAAATCAAGCAAGGCATTTTCACAAGTACAGAATGACAGTGTTGCAAAATTATTGTTTGGGCAGGAGAGGGAGAAGGACCACAGGAAAAGGCCCGAAATTTCTTCAACACCCCTGAGGAGTATTTCCCTTTCAAGAGGAAAGTTGAAGGTCGACGGTCCCGAGGGAAGTAACCAAGAGGTCCCACAGTGCTATAAAGTTATTATGGAGAAACAGATTCCTTTTCCCAGCTCACCTTCCCTGATTTTGATAAGGAGGATCTAATCTAAATCTCAATGAGCAGAAGTTGAGTAGCCTGCAGTCTGGAAGCTACGTAGGTGGAGAAGGAAAGACTGCCGGATTTTCTTTCCCAGGAACACCTTTGTATATTTGCTGTTCTTCTTGAAGAAGATCATCATGGAGCCCTCAACAACCTGGAGTGCAGACCCCAAAGAACAGTCTTGTTGGATCAGGCCAAGGCCAACATTTTGTTTCTCAATAGTCACCTGATGCTTCTCCAGTGCCCCATCCAGGAGACGAAGGCATCTCCCTTTCCTGCCATTCTTTCCCTTCTCATTGGGTGACTTTGGGCCAATGACTCCATCTTACCCCTGCCTACCTCTCAAGAGTTGTGCTAGGCATGCTGCCTTAAACTCCTAAAGGAAAGGCAATCTATACATTAACAAAACAAACAATAAATCATATATCGGGAAGCCTGCTGCTCCTGTTACAGGGACTCTTCAAGACCAAGAGCCTTTCAGAGAGATATCCTCCATGAATTTATCCACTCCTCAGACAAGAGTACCTTCAAAAGATGCCAATGAGTAATACGTTTTGATGTGATGAAAATATTAATAAAATGCAGTGTACTGCCATTTCCTTTTTCATTTAATTCTAATTACATTTCAAAGCCTGAAAGAGTGCTACGCCTCTCTTCAAAAATTGCAGGCACAGAGGCGAGGTGTGGGGTGAAGCAGGAGAGAGCAAGTAAGTGGGTCCAAGGAATGCCAGGGCTGGCACTGGATGGCTGCGTGGGAGTCCTCTATTTCAGGAAGAACCATTTTGGGATACAAAGGCAGCCCGCTCCCCTTTGGAGGCTGAATGGAACTCACTGTGCCACCATCTAAATTACGTGTGTAACTATATGTAACAGTGGGTGTAACTATGTGTACTGATGCACATCGTGGGATAAACACAGTCTCCTAGTTCAGAGGTTTGGTTGGGCAGAGAGAAAGGATAAAGGTAAACGTAATTCTTCTTGTTTAAGAAGAAACCTTTTACATTTCTACAAGTGAGATCATAGTTTGATGAAGGATCGCCTTCAAAGATGGCTAGTTTGGTAATAAACTGCAGTAAACCTCTTTCACTCAGGCCTTTGGTGATGAAGAGTGTTTAATGTTTTATTTATGTATTTATTATATTTCAAATTTAGTCACCTCCCATCTCACTCAATGAGCAACACTGGGCAGTTTACAATAAATAAGAGAAAAAACCAATTAAAATACAATAAAAACAGTAATCAAAAATAAATAATATAATCCAAGGAATAGATGATATAAATTATCAACCTCTGGGAGCGTCTTTAGGGTGCTAACCACCCTCGGGATTGGTTACCCTTCCTTGAGCTCCACATGAGTTAGCAGAGCCAGGTCTTCACCTCTTTCGGAAGGCCGGAAGAGTGGGGGCCCGCCTCACTTCTGGAGGGAGAATGTTCCATAGGGTAGGAGCAAGGGCAGAGAAGGCTCTCATCCTGGGATCTGTTAAGTGAAATTCTTTCATAGACAGCGTCCAAAACATAACTTCTCTACCTGCCCAGGTGGGATGGGTCAATGTAATGGGGATGAGATGGTCCCTCAGGTAATCTGGTCCCATGTATTTTATTTTATTGTAATTTCTTTGGTTGATAGTTGTATGCCACTAAGTCACTGAGAGTTGGGTTGCATACAAGTTTAATTATTAATAATTATAATCCTTCTTGTCCTCGTTGCTTTCCTATTCTCACAGCTGTGGCTGGCTGCGTTCAGTAGTAGCCCATGGAGCAGGGAAAATGGATTGATGAAGTTACATCAAGTCAATGTCACCTCTTAGCAACATATAGACAGATTTACTCCAGGAGGTAGAGTCAATGGCACTCCCCAAATTAATAAAACCTGGCATGAAACATGAAATCCCTCCTGGAAAAAGTGCCAAGAGAATCACTGGTGACTGAATCAGCAACTCCAAGCTGGCAAACCTGGCTCTCTCTCTCCCCAGTTCAATGGGCCTCCTCTGCAGTGCAGAATTAGAGCTTTCTTCATGCTAATCTTATTTTTTAAACACAGATCCAGAGCTCTTTCAAAAAAGCGTTCAACTGTGCTTCAAAAAGGGGTTTGTTGCTCTTTCTGAAGAGCGTTGTTTCCTTGGCCATATGGATGCTATGCTGGGCCTGACTGGTGCCTTCCAGTCAGGTGTTACCCAGCCCAATGCCCCTGCAGAAGCCAGGGGTCTATGGACAAAGCCCAAATGGCAATAGGGGGCCTGCCCAAGTACTGGGAGAGAAGGGGCCTGCCCCCAGCAAGCTAAGTGGCCAAGAGTTGCTGGGCACATTGCAGCCTTGACCATGTGATCAACCTTATTGTTGAACAAGTGTCATAGTTTGCTTCCCCAACCAAAATATGTTGGGAGCAAAGCGAAGAACATGGAAATAGTGGTGGATAAAAATGAGAGGATCCTGAATGAACCATCATGTTCACTGACTCTTATTACATTCCATACATAAGATGGATTGATTGCATGATCAAGACCTCATTCAGAAATGCCCTTTGATACTGATGTCATATAATCAGTAGACTTGGCTGGGTATGTCAGAACTTACAAGTTAAAATAAAATAAAATAAAATATGAAATAAAATAAGCTAGAAATGTTGGTTTGTACATGATGAATCATCTATTTCAGTCCATCACAGATTCAAGAAATCTCCAGGGTATCTGAAATACAGAAGTACTCTTTGAGGGGAACTGGTGATGGGAGGTGAAGGAGGTTGGCCTGTTTAGGTCCTTAGACCTCTAAAAAAATAAGATGGAGGGGGGCAATTTAGACAGAGGCATGCAAATCTTGAAGTTCATTTTAAAAATGCCTCCCTGCCACCCAGAGAGAACTCAGGAAGATGGGAAGATTCAGAGCTGCAACCTTGACTCATCTTTGACAGTGCTGACCTTTGGTGATGAGATCTCAGACTTCTGGAGCCAAAGCAGAGCCGGATTAAGGCTCACTGGTGTTCTAAGCACAGCCCAACAAGCCCTTGGCCCTTCCCTTGCTTCACTGACAAAACATTAAGACTCAGAAACTGCTGAAGGTGAAATAAGAGTTTAAAAATTCAGTTTTCCTCCAAGCCATCTCCCAGGACAAACTGCATAACTATATTAAACTTTAAAAAATTTATTTACTATAAAATAGCCATAAGCAATATAAGCAAATTATTTGCTTGTAACTAGGGCAATAGAAAACAGGCAAATTTTTAACACTTTTAAATCCATGCTGGGAAAGGAGGAAGGAAAGAGAAGAGGATGACCAACAGCAACGCGATGGACTCAATTACAGTGACGATGGGGGCACCTGAAAGACCAGGTTAGATACAAATCATCATGGAGAAAATCTATCTCCATGGTCACTAAGAGTCGACAATGAGTTGATGGCACATAATCAATCAATGAAATCAATCCATGTTCTTGCAGCTCCAGGTCTCCAGTGATTCCTCCTTCCCATCAAGGCTGATTCTTACCTGATACTCCTGGAAAGCCTCCTCCAGAGGAATCACCCGGTGGTCCCTGTGCTCTCGGGATCGGTCACAGACCCAGCAGATGAGAGTCTCATGGTTTTTACAGAAGAGCTTGAGGGGCTCCCAGTGCATCCTGCAGAAGCTCCCTCCTTCCTCACCCCAAGGGCCACATTGCTTGGTGACTTCCAACACCCGTGACAGCTGCCTGTTTGCAAGGATGTTCCGGGGCCAAAAGGACTGTCTGCAGTGGGGGCAGGAAGCCCCTGAGTCCAATTGCCCCCAGCTGCGGGTCAAGCAGCTGCGGCAGAAATTGTGGCCGCACTCCGGGATGAGCACGGGGTCCTGGAAATAGTCCAGGCAAATGGGGCAGGTGGCTTCTTCATGGAGAACCAGAACAGACACTCCGGTGGCCATCGCTGCCTCCTCCGCCAAGGGAAAGAGAGAGAAAGAGAGAAAGAGGGAGTTTCACTTTCCCTTCACTAGTTTTTCTGCAAATCAAATTATTGCCTTTCTGTCAACATTGGAAACGGAGATGAATTATTGTTCCTTTTATGGTCAGATTGGAGGGTTTCTTAAAGAATAAATGTTTAAAAAAAAAACTGGGGAGAATCAAAGATTCATGGGATGGAACCCTGATCAATTATCATTGATCCAGCCAGCTTGTTAAAGGGAACAATGTTAAAAACTGGGGAGAATCAAAGATTCATGGGATGGAACCCTGATCAATTATCATTGATCCAGCCAGCTTGTTAAAGGGAACAATGTTAAAAACTGGGGAGAATCAAAGATTCATGGGATGGAACCCTGATCAATTATCAT